ATAAAAATTTATTGGATGATCTGAAACGTGATATAAATTTTTATGAAATTTTATTGGCTTAAATTTAAAGATCATGCTTGTGATATTGTTTATTTGGTATTTGAATACCTATCAATTATATTACCAAATTTTCACATGACCACATAATTTTGTAAAGAGCGATAATATTTAATCTCTATTTCTTATATTTTGTATTTTATATTTATCTTATTATTTATCTTTTAATAAAGTTATATCTTATTCAATTTTAATATTGATCTGTTAATTTATTAACTTGTCACATAAAAATCTTTGTAATAAACTATTTGAACTTTCACATCTTCTTTAGCATATATATCTTATCAAGCAAACAAGTTAGTTTGATATGTTAATCCCTTCACAATAAAGAACTCATCTTGTAACACAGGTCAAATACAAAAGATACATCATACTGAAAAGGAATTCCAATTTTAGCTAATTTATAGTATAGGAATTACCATTTAGTACACCAATTCTTTTGTATTTGACTAGTGTGAGCCATCTTAGATGATTATTTTTTACATAAAATACCTCAGGTGATAATTTACACCTGAGATGTTTCAAATGACAATTGAGTCAATGAAATATCTAAGACATGACATATATATTTGTGACTAAACTAAATATTTCATGTTATATAATATTAATTTTTTTGTAACAAAATAAGAATTATTGATGGTTATTACATATAAACACTGGTCAAGATTTATAAATAGTACACCTGTCAGATACTAATTAGGTGTACTATTTATAAATTTCAACCAGTAAAAATATTTTATTTAAATAAGTAAATATTAAAAACAGTACTAAGTAACCTTAAAAATAAAAATATTTTAAATATTATATTAAAAGAATAGACCTATATCATCAAAATCAAGTAATCAAATTTTGAACAGACAAAAATATTTTAAATGACAATTGTTTAGTCATTTTTGAAGATATACATCTGTCCTTTAAAAATAATATGCAATTAATTCTAAACTTTGAAGTTACTTAGTACTATTTTAACATTCATTAACAATATAAAAAGTTTTATATGATTGATGTTATAATTATTATTATTACATATAATTATAGAAAAATCATTGATTGTTGTTACATATAAAACTTTTTATATTGTTAGTGAATATCAAAAATGATACTAAGTAACTTCAAAGTTTAGAATTGATTGCATATTATATTTAAAGAACAGATATATATCTTCAAAATTGATTGAACATTGTCATTTAAAATTTTTTTTTTTCATTAGAAATTTAATCACTAGTAACTTTCTCAATTTTGATGATATAGGTCTGTTCTTTTAATATAATATACAATTCATTTTTTTCTTTAAGATTACTTAGTAATGTTTTTAATATTCATATATTAAAATAAAATATTTTATATGTGATAACAATCATGAATCATTTTCAATTACAATTTATAGTTGAACAGATATCTGAGGATAATCTGAGAATATCCTCTGGAAAAAAATATCTATTTATCAAAGTACCTATTCGAATAAGTCAAACAGATTCACCACCAGATGAGAGGACCGAAAATAAATGGTGGTTAACCGTGCGTGACACTCGTGAAGAAAAATATTGCTGTCTGGAGCCAAAGGAGTGGTAAAGCTGTAGGACTTGAGACATTATTTGAAAAAAAGTTGGGGTGGGCAATATCAGCAGACTCTATTAACTTTAGTAAAGAATAGTGCTAATAGTTGGTGAGGAGGACGTTTGGTTATTGAAAGGAAATGAGTGAATAATATCAATTGTGACAATGATAACATTTGTGGGCAGTATAAAGAAATATTTTTCCATTAAAATTGCAAGTATTTTAAGTTTTTAATGAAAAACACTAAAATATTAATTAATTTAGAATAATTTGTCATTGGCTGAAGAATATGATAAAATTTAAAAATTTTTTGTTTGTAAAAATACAATTGATGTGAAAATGAAATAAAATTAAATAATTTTCTTCAATGCTAAAATGCTATTTAGTATTATGTTTGTTTGTTTTGTTTGTAATTCATTAAATCTAGATTTATCTATACAAATAATACATTCCCATCTATATATTACCAAATATTCAATTAATTCCAGTCCAGATTATAATCCAAATTATAATCCAGATCATATTCCGGATTATTAATTTTTTTATTTTATTTTTGTCACGAAACATTTTTCAACAATTCTTCAACACTTTAAATTATTATTGTTTGTATTATTATTATTCTATCCGCCCTTAATTAACAATAAATCTCTTATAACATCGCTTAACGTAGCAAAGTTGACAGGCTTACTAATGTAATTGGTAAATCCAACTTCTAAACATCTACTCGATACATCTGACATCACATTCGCTGAAAGAGCTATTATTGGTACTGGTACTTCATCGGTCAAATTTTTTGCCTCCCATGCTCTAATTTCTGCTGTTGTTTCATATCCATCTAAATAGTAAATAATGAAAATAATTTCGAAAGAATGAAATAATTAAAATTTGTAATAATTAAAAAAAATACAACATATAAATATTAACAAAAAATTATTCACCTTTTACTGGCATGAACAAATCGCACTGTAAAATATTTTATAAAATATATGATTGAATGAAATTAGGATGATTAATTATATTCATCCATAATATTTAAATTAACAAAAAAAAATTATATTAACGTACCAAGATTAGAGAATAATAATTATGTGGATATGAATAAAATTTTTCTAAACATTCCTCTCCATTATTGGCGATTTCAACATCCAATCCGACTTTGGTAAGATATTGCGTCATCACTATTTTACCATCACGATATATATAAAGAATATTTAAATAAATAAATAAATAAATAAATAAATAAATAAATAAATATATATATATATATAAATTTGGAATATCAAAAAAAAGATATTTACCTTTTTGATTAACAAAATTATCTTCGACAAGCAAAACTCTGAAACCTCTATTACCAACATCATCTGCCATACGTTTAAAAACCTCCTTTTGATTCGCAGCAATTTTATGTGTATTTCTTCTTTTCAAGAAATTATCTCTTACTGTGGTAGTAACATCAAAGAGACCTTCCATCTTACTTCGATTAGAAGGTTTAAAAATAAATTCGACACGTTCCGGTAAATCATTTTGTGCTCCTTCCACTATTCCGGCTCGTTGAATTGGTGTAGTTAATATCACCGTAACTGTTAATGAAAGATGCATGGCATGTTTAATTATAGAAGCTAAAGAAATAATTTGAGGTTGTGAAGCCAAATTTAAAAATATATGTGTATAAGATTTAAGTGGTGTTGCATTAATTCGATTGGTTGCTTCATTATAATCATAACATATATCGATGGCGGGTGGAGGGATTTTAGGAAGTATGGATCGTACATAATGTATAAGTGTTTCTCGAGCACGAGGTAATTCCGCTACAATAAGAACACATACTGTACGAGGTAAATCGATTTGTAAGGGTTTACGATTCTTAAATAAAGGCGTGCTAGGCCTAGAAGAATTATTTGAAGAAGTTCTATTTGTTTGAAATATTTGAGAATTGTCATTAGAATTAGGTTCGAAAATTTCAACGCTTAAGGAACTTGAAGAAGTATCAGAAGATGATGATTGTGGAGGAGATGAAAAAGAAGAAGATGGGGATCTTGATCCAGATGAATTCACTGGAGAATTGGATGAAGATGGTGGTGGTGTACTTTTTGATTGAACCGAGGCTTTACTATACCGGAAAAATGGAGAATTGCAAACTTCTGAAGTTGGAGTTGGTGGACGGGGTGTTGTAGAATCAGGTGGAACACTAAATTTAGCCGAAAAGTAAAAAGTCGATCCAAAACCTTTTTTACTTTTACAAAACATTTCTCCACCATGTAATTCTATAAGTTGTCTAGAAATAACTAATCCTAATCCACTACCACCATGCTTTCTCGTAGACTAAAAAAATTACATTAATTAATTAATTGGGTTGAATGGAGTCAAGGATAGAATCAAAATGGACTCGAGAATAGATTCGAGAATGAAATCGAAGTTTTGCAATACTCACCGAAGTATCAACTTGAGAAAATGGTTTAAACATAACTGCTTCTTCATCGGAATCAAAACCATCACCAGTGTCAACAACCTCAAATAATAACTTTATCTCGTTTTCACAAGTATCGGCTTGTTGGGTTGAATACAATGAACATCGAGAAAAGACTTCACCTTTTGATGTGAACTTGATAGCATTCTATTATATAAATATTTAATTAGAAAAAGAATAATCTTAAAACATTAATAATATTACAAAGTAAATTTTATATTTACCCCTATAACATTTAATAATACTTGTCGTAATCTAATTCTGTCACCACAAATAACTTCTGGAACATTATCTTCTACAATAAAGCTTAATTCAAGACCTTTTTGTATAGCTAAGGTTGAAAGTAATTCATTGGCATCTTCAATCATATTATGAACAGAAAAAGGTTCCATTTCGAGTTTCATCATTCCTGCTTCAACTTTACTCAAATCCAAAATATCATTGATTACTAAAAGTAATGCATCAGCAGATTGTTGTATGGTATGAGCATAATCAAGTTGTTCTACTGTTAAAGTGGTAGCCAACATGAAATTAATCATCCCAGTAATACCAATAAGTGGTGTTCGAATTTCTAAAATATTTCATAATTTTTATATAATTTATATAATTTATAATTTTATTAGTATGAAAAAATTTAATAATATAACTACTAATATCAATTTTTTTTTACCATGTGACATATTTGATAAGAATCTTGTTTTACTCTCCGTTGATCTTTTTGCAGCATCATGTGCTTCTTTAAGTTTTTGTTCTACTATCTTGTGATCATTAATATCCGTACTAAAGTAAAAATTTTTAATATATTTAATATAATTCATGAAAATACATGTCATTAATAATATATTTATTATATAATAGAATTCATGATAGCTCACCATGTACCAAACCATTTACGACCGTGAGCATAATCTTCAACACTTATACATTTTACTAAAAACCATCGATGCTCTCCATCACTTCGCATTAAACGTACTTCTGTAGTGTAACTCATTTCAGCCGATGTACCACCTTCTTTTTCTTCTGGTAAACGACATCGATATCTATCATCGGGATGAACATGTAATATAAATCCGAGACCTTTTGCTTGTTCTTCATTTTGACCGGAATAACTTAACCATTTATTATTAACGTATAATATTCCATCTTTTAAAGTTGCAGTAAAAACTATTTGTGGAATTGCCTCGGCCAGAAGTCGATATTTTTTTTCATTAGCTTCAATATGATGTTGTCGACTCTGAATTTGTTCAGCCATTTTTTGATCATGAACATCAGTACAAGTTCCAAACCAACGAATATTAACACCCCTTGCATCACGCAAAGGACCCGCGCGACCCAAGAACCAACGATATTGTCCGTCATATCTACGCATACGATATTCAGAACTTGCCCCTTCACCACGTGTAAAAGTTTTATCCCACATTTCCCAAACTCTTTGTCTATCATCGGGATGTACTACATCAATCCATCCATGTCCTAACAAGTCATCAATATGACGATTAGTATATTTTAACAATCTCACATTTACCCAAGTACATTCACAAGTTCCTGGAGTACAAGTGCTAGAAAAAAAAAAAAAAGACAAAATCAAATTAAAAAATTTGATCATGAATTAAAGATAAATTATATAGGAATATGAATACTCACTAAACAACATTTGGCATCACGTCCACAATGAGACGAAGCATTTTAGTATTTGGTATTATTAAATGAGAATTCACTGTGGATTCAGGATGAGAATTATGACGATGATGATGATGAATATTAGTTAGAGGAATGTTTGCTTTAGAAGAACGCCTTGATCGACGTCTTTTATGAAAATCAGCAGGTAAAGAACTCCTGTCTTTCTTTAATGGTTTTTGTGAAGTTGAAGGAATAGTATAATCTACATATGGTAATCCATCAGTTATTGAAGTATATTCATTATCAACTAAAGATTCTTGTTTTTCATTATTATTGTTATTGTTATTGTTGTTGTTGTTGAAAAAATATTCATCGTCATCAGAATCTATACCTGGACTACGACCATTAATAGAAAATACAGCAGAATAATCCCATCTTGAAGAATTTGTTGAAGATGTGGAATATTCTCCTGATGACATATTATCAATATCATCATTATATATTATGGGTTCAGTAGTTAAAGGAATTACTTTGATATTATTATTACTATTATTATTGTTGTTATTTGATCGTTGACTTCGTTGACTTCGTTGACTATCACGACGACGTCTTTCTCTCTCTCTGTTACTATTATTGCTACTAATTGAAGTTATATAAGAAGATTTTTCAGATTGTTGATATATCATAGAGACGGATAGAGTTGTTGCTAAGAAAGGAGCTAATACTTTAAGGGATTTTAATAGTTCTTGAGGATATGGTACAGTGTAGGAAAGAAATGAAAGAATAGCAATTGGTACAGGTGCATGATTCGCATTTGTAGAAGCAACATTTTTTACAGTTGTTGGATGAATGAGGGGAATATGTACAATGGAACAATTATTATTTGTGATCGAATTAAATGAAGATTGGAAGTTTGAAAATAAATCCGTATTTGATGTATTTGATGCATTTGATGAATTTGATGAATTTGATATATTTGATGAATCTGATATATTTGATGTATCTGATGTGGAATATGAGGAAGAAAAATGTGGTGATGATGAAGGGGGATTGAAAGAATCATCATCAATTTCTGGTAAAGATAGAAAGAAAGGATTTAAATTTTTGTCAGCAACATATTTTTTTTTAATAGGGGATTGACTCCAAGGTGAAAGTTGTTGCTGTTCAATTTCTTGAAATTCACAAGTTATTCTTGAATTATTATTGTTAAAATTATTGTTAAAATTATTATTATTATTATTATTATTATTACTAAATAAACCACCACCACCACCACCACCACGTTGAAAATAACTATTATATTGTCCTTCTTCCAGATCAACCAAACAAGGAGTATCCAATGCTCGACCCGAATAGAGACCAGAATAAAGATCATTTTTACAAGCAACATTTGAATTATTATTATTATTATTATTATTATTATTATTATTATTGTTATATAAATTATTTTCATTATCAGAAGAATTCGTATTGGTATTATTATTATTATTATTATTATTTGGTAATTTGTACTTTCGTGTCATTACCATAATATTTCCACGTTGCAAAATATTTAAAACTCCTATATTATTCAATAAAGGATCAGTGTCACTTTCTAATTTTTGTAAATTTTCGAATACAGAATGTCCGGATTCAACAGAATATGAAGAACAACAACTATCGGTATTACTTTCAGAGCAACATGAAGATGAAGAAGAAGAAGAAGATGATGATGATGAAATTCCATGAAAAGATTCTTTATTAAATATTGCTTTGACACCCCAAGGAGTATTTGTAGTATCGGTTAAATCGTGAGGTACTGATAATAGGATACGAGTGGCACAATAAGATGAAGTGAAAATTTCAATCACATTATCCCACCATTTTCGAATATCTAATTCTGTTGTTAACTGTAATGATAACTTATATAGATTTGGTTTTAATGAAGGAGAAGAAAATGGATGATTTTTTGTAGAAAAATTTAAATTTGGGTGATGATGTTCAGAAGAAGAATAATGACTCTGATGATGACGGTGATGGTTTGAATTTTCTGAAATGTTATTAAAATTTTTATCACTATTATTATTAATTTTATTATTACTATTATTATTAATCGAACTTTCTTTTCGAGAGACAATTGTTGTTGTTATTTTTGAACTTGGTTGATGATGATTATTGGAAATTGTATTTACAGGAACTGCGTCTGTTTTTGATTTCATAATGAATATGTATATAATTATGTATATATATATATATATATATATATATATGTAATATCTAGAAGAAAATATAAAAAGTAAACCAGTAAAAACAATGGTACAAAAAAAAAAAAATTAAAAAAAAAAAATTAAAAAAAAAATTTGTAAAAAAAAAGAGAAATTAAAAAGTTGAATGTACAAATATATATATATATTATATATATATACACATATTATATATATTATTTACATATTATATATTGTATATACATATTATATACATTATATATATTTTAAAAATATTTATAAAGTCATCACTCCCACGAAAATGAAATTAAATGGAAAAACCAATTTCTAATAATTACCATATATCAAAAAAAATATATATTATTTTTTTGAAGAATTCCTCGAAGTTGTTATTATTTTTCTTGGCAGTCTTTGCAGTTTAATGAATGAAAATGTATAATGCTCTACGTAGTTTTATCGTTTTATCACACGACTTAATTTTGACTTTTTTTTATTCCGGTTGAAGACCGTGACTCTTTTTTTTTTGTTTTTTATTGTTGGGTTACTAAGTATTTTAAAAATATTAATATATGTAAGATCGTTTGTCATGGACACATGTATATGCTATCTTTTCAAACTTCCTCATAAATGATATTTCCGGAAAGTTGTAATGTCTTATATTTGCAATTCACCTCCAAGTTACAACTTCCCTGAACTCCCTTTATTATTTTGTTTTACTATATTGTCACTATATTATATTATTACTATATTATCGTTATTATATTGTTATTATATATTATCCACGAAAACATCACCGAGTCCTTAACAAATAGATTAAGAAACAAACTTTTTTCTTCTCCTTGATAAAATATTTTCGTTTATGGTCTCTTTTTCGGAAACAAAAATGGATATATAAGAGTAATGAATTTATAACGAAGAGTAAAAAATAAATAAAAAGGAAATGAAGTTAAATAAAAAAAAAAACGTGATTAACTATATTGTATAATTTAATCAATTAATCAACTTAATCGGTTGTAAAGTAAACAGGGAATGCCTTATCATTTTCTATATCTCATTTCCCTTATTTCCTCGAGTTTTGCTCGGAAGAAGATCCTTTTTTATTATGTCATTTTTTCATTAATAATGACCGATGTCTTTAAATTTTCTAATTCACAGTCGAATGATATATTACGAAACATTTGAAACAATGAATCATTTCTTCTTTTTGTATTAATCATTGATGAATGGAAAAGAATGATTAATTACTAAGATATATCGTTTTTAATAATGTGCATAATGTTGTCAATTGAATTATCAGGGCTTTCGGAACCAAAGAATGAAAACTTTTTTTTTACGTTTTAGGCAATTTACGCAATTTGCATCCGAATGGTACAACCGCCGAAGTATTGGTAATCTCGGATAAAAAGCGATTATAAATATTATTACTAATAAATATATAATAAAATAGAATAAATAAATAAATAATCACTAGATTTACACTATGAGTAATTATGTACATTGAATAATTATTAAGGACAATGTGATTAAAAGTACTATGATGCAATAATAATGTAAAACTAAACTTAATAAAGTTAGAAATTTGTTTTATGTATAATAAATAATAAATATAAATAATACTCTTTTATATTTACTTTATATATATTTCTTTATATATTTTAGGTAACGTAAAATTACAAATTAGTTGGTGTATTCTTTATTCGATCCTTTATATTTTCCGGAACACTAGATTTTTTCTAATGCTAGATTAATGACAAGGTTTTTTTTTAGAGATCTTTGACCGGAAACTAGCGGAATGGTTTTATTAGATAATGCATAGCATTAATCAAAAAATTTTGATTTTAGTGATAACAAAGTTAACATTGACGACATTTTTAGTATTATCAACATTAGAAACATTCGCAATACATTAGCAATACATTAGCAACACATTTAAAATTTAGCTTCTTTTGAGAAGAGGATGTACAATATACATATATCTTCATTGGTTAAAGGACAAAAAAAAAAAAAACTAGTTTTTATTTTTAAATTTTTTTTTTCTTTTCCCCATTAAAATTAAATTTAATATTGTGTTGTTCCTCCTTAAAAAGTTCGGTGTAACACGGGTGCCTACGATGACAATTACGTCATTTACAAAAATTTCCATTAAATCTAGACCAATTACATCATATTAAATATAAATTTATATAAATTTATATAAGAGAATAAAAGGAATAAAAAAGAATAAAAGAGAAGAAACGTGTGAAATATTTGGATAATCATGAATAAAATGCAGATAAGGACAGTTATTATCATAAACATTCCAAAATCAGTAAGTCCAAGAAGAAGAAGGATAGAAGAAAAGAATTACTTAAAATAATTTTGCATATTAAATTCGCACGCCAACTTCTCGTGATCCATAAAGAAAACCTAGGGGAAAAGATAAACATTAGAAGTTAGTTTGTAGGTTGTCACGTGAAATAGACAGGTAGACTTTGATTGAATACTTTTGAGAGTTGTAAAATTTAAAACTAGAAAAATTTTTGATTGATTTGTTTTTTCAGATCTTTATATCTATACAATAAAAAAAAGTTAATCAAAAGGTTAAAGTTTTTTTTAATGATTTAAAAATGACATAAAAAAAAAAAAATCAGAGTAGTAATTTATAAGTATTTTAAATTATATTGTAATAATGATGTAAAAAAGTGGTTTAAAAAAGAAATTTGTTAACCAAAACAAAGCCGAAGAAACTTAACAAAATGTCTCTTGTAGATCTTGATGTTGGAGTGGCAAGACTTAAAGGAAATAGAGAATCTCAAATGGATAGATTTAATGTTAGCAATCATTATTTCCAAGAGAAGGGATATTCACTCTTTATAATTTTTGATGGACACGGTGACGAAAGATTTTCAAAGGTTTTGAAAATTTAAATAACAATAAAATGAATAAATAAATAAATAATTAATTATAATAATAATTATAAACAATAATAATAATTTGAAAATCAATTCAATTTATTATAAGCACGCAAGTGAAAATTTAGCAAATTTAATAGTAAATGATAACGAGTTTAAAGCTGGAAATTATGAACGATCACTTATTAGTGCGTTTGAATTTGAAGATTACAAGTTGACACAAACTTTAGGAAAAGAAATATCTGGTGGAACTACTGCTACTGGTAAATAAAAAAAAATAATAATTTATTATTAAACAAATTATTATTTAAAAAATTTATTTATTTATTATTTATATTTCTTGTCAGCTTCATTATTTTTTCGGAACAAAAATGTTTGTTATGTTGCTAATGTTGGTGATAGCACTGCAGTTCTCGGCAGTATTCCTGGTGGAAAATTTGAACCTAAAGCTATTCCTGTAAGTCGTGATGATAAAATGAGTGATTTAGAAGAATTTGATAGGTAATTAATATAATATAATATTTTATTTTACTTTATTTATTTATATTTGTTTATCACATTTCATCATACCATATTTAGACTTTCCGGAGCTAATGCTATAGTGCGTAAAGGAAGATTGATTCGTCCCGGTCATTCGGTTAACATGACACGAGGTTAAAATGGTTTTATTGATAATAACTTTAAATATTCTTAATTCATTTTTAATTAAATAATTAATTAATTAAAAATAAATTTATAGCTCTTGGTGATTTCGATTTTAAAGCTCCAAAAGTCCCATCTGGAGAAGATTGGATTTCTCCTATCCCTCATATAAATAAAATTGAATTAAATCCTCGTGAAGATGAATTTATGATTTTGGCTTCAGACGGTGCGAAAACATTTTCCTATTATATAAATTATACATATTATTATTTAAACGTAATCACCAACAACAAACTTTAATCAGGTTTATGGAATGTTTTCGATGAACAAACCATAGTAAATGAAGTTACTCTTTGTCTTGATCGAGGTTATGATGTTCATCAAATTGCCTCAGCATTAGCTGAAGCTTCTGTAAAAAGAGGAAATCCAATCAGTGATAACGTTACTATTATTTTAATTTATTTTGTTTGGGAATAAATTATATTTAATTTATGATATATATGCGCGTATATAATTATTATAATTATATTTAGATTATAATATAATGTTACATATATTTTTTTATTATATGTCATTAAAAATGTTTATCTAACATTTAAATATATTCATTTCACGCAAAAAAAAAATAAAATAAATAAATAAATAAAAAAAATTATTATCACAAAATTTAAAATATGTATATTAAATATAAAAACGTATTTTAATTTTTAACCTTTATATCTTTGTATTTTACTGGTTCCTTTGTTTCCTTATTCGTTATTGTTATATGTTTATGTCGACATTGTTTAGGTGATCTAGTTCCAACGTGATTACTTATGTCTGTCCAATTACCTACTCCAAATTTTTTTAGTCCTTCTTTTAATAATGTTTCTTCATTTTTATTCCATCTTTTCTTTTTCAATGTAGGATCCATACTAGTTTTTGTTCTAACTAATTTTTTAATTTGTCTCATTTGTTTATCAGGAAATTGTTCTTTTATCTTTTCCCAATCTTTTCCATATTTCTGAAGGCATTCTTTTAATTTTTCTGTTTCTTCTATTGTCCATTCTCGTCTATCAAAATGATCCTTAATTTGTCCTAAAGGTCTTTTTAAGATTTCTGACATTAAAATATGATTTTTTCCTAAAGTTTTATTTAATTCTCTTAATAAATTATCTTCTTCTGGTGTCCAGGGAACCTTTTCTCTGGTCTTAGTTAAAACATCCCATCTCACTGTAAATTGCATGAAATTTTTATTAGGCAAAAATTCAACCATTGGTCGCCAATTTCCAACTCCATATTTTTCTACTGCCTTTTTTAACAATTCATCTTCTTCAGGTGTCCAGGTATTATATTTATTATTAGGTAACGCTTTATCTTTTTCAATTTTTCTAATTTTGGCTTTTATTTTTTCCACTGTTATCGATTCATCTTTAAATTGTTTTAAATATGTTTCAAAAATTGCAAAATAACTTTTACCATATTTCTCTAAAGAATCTGCTAAAAATTCTTCTTCTTCTTTTGTCCATCTTTTAAGTTTTCTAGGTTTTGTATTCGTTACAATCTTTGAATCATGAGCATTTTGTAATTCATACATTATTAAAGGTTTCATAGGTCCCAATTTTTTGAATTCAATATTTTGTATGGTTGAACGTAATTCATCATTTCTTACATCTCCCGCGGTTTTTATGATAACAGATTTTATAGCAGATTCTGTGACTTTAATATTTTTGTCAACATTTTGGTCAATATTTTGTATGATTGAACTTTTTTCATCATTTTTTACATCTCCCGCAGTTTTATTAATAATGGATTTAATAGGAAATTTAAAATTTTGCACGGCTGAACGTAATTCAACATCCTTTATATCTCCTGAAATTCTTTCGATAACTGATTTTACATTGGATTCTGTAAAATGATTAATATAACGTTTTACAAACGACGTTGTCTTAAATAATGGAAATTTTTTTTTTGCGAAAATGATTGTCATCTATAACTTTTTTTTTTTTTTTAATTATCCACGATATGAGATTAGATATTAAATTTATTACGTGTTACAAACAAGACTAAATCCTGTATAGGCTTTAATGTTTTCATTGATATTTTTTTTTGAATCACAAACAAATAAAAATGTTTTTAAAATTAACTAAAGAATTATCGTCTTGATAATAATTTTTTTTTTTAAAAAAATTAAAACCCACCATGAATTAAGAACAACCAGAACACATTTGCCTTATCTGTATATTAAATGTGAATTCCTTTTTTTTTTAAAAAAAAAAAAATTGTTTGAATTTTCCGAGGAAAAAATTTTAAATTTTTGATTATCATAATCCATTGCATCGAATCACCTTCCTATTTTATCAAAGGACAATATCTCATTAGTGATATTCTTTAGAAGGGGTCTACGAAAATGCCAATATTCCTTGAATATTCCACATTCAATAGATGAAATTTCGAGATAGAATACATATGACAAAGCAATGAAAATGACTGCACCTTGTGTTTTACTCTTGTTTATTTTGCGGAGTAAAAATTTGATCACTCATGTGATTCTTGTCACGACGCGTGTTGCGTATTGATTATCAGCATAAAAATAATAACAATAAAATTGATTATTAATCATAATCGCTTATTTTCCCTTATTTCGTGTTACAGTTTTTTCAGTACACACAAAATCATATTTTTTCTGCACACTTACAGCATAAACTATGGAAAACACTATCACCAGAAAAAGGAAAGACAAAGAAGAGGACAATCCTATAAGCAAACAAATGACAAATATCAATGAGTACATTTATCTCTCCTCCAGAAAAAGGAAAGACAAGAAAGAGGATGACCCTATAAACATAAATAAGCAGATAAAGAATATTGATAAATATATTTATCAACCTTGGATGATAAATTTATTCATGTTCACATCTATAAAGCAAGAAGATGGTGTCCTTGGTCCCTCTTTTTCACAAGTTTTCCAGGAAGATAACCAAAGTGAATTTATGACAAAGCTGCAAGAAGCATTTAATGCTACTACCAGCAAACTTTTCAGCATAGAAAATCTTCATCAAGCAAAAGTATGACTTTATTTTCAAGGTCTAGTTTTATCTGAAATCACCTAAGAAAACAAACTAATTGTGACACAACAGATTGTTCAATATCTCAAGAATGAAATCTCTAAAGCTTCCTATAGGTCAAGTCTGGTCTGATCTTATAGGGCCTGGACCAGATCTTAAAAATTTAAGCCTGGCTCAGGCCTGACCTGAATTTAAAAGTTAGGCTTAGCTCAAGTCAGATCTAGACTCATCAGACTTGCTGGCTCAAGTTCAACTCAGGCTCACAAGCTTAACTTATGTCTGTAAGCCCAATTTAGGCTTGCAACTCAAGCCTGTGAGTTCAGATAAGCTCAGCTTATTTATAAAGTTTAATTCAGACTTATAGGTTTATAAGTTTATATTGTTGAACCAAATCAAAAATTTTTAATAAAATCCAAACTGAAACCAAACCATAATCTTATTAAACTGAATCCAAACTGAAATTTTTCAGTTAAAATAGTTCATAAATAAGTATTGCCTTACAAATCAAATTAAATTAATAATAATTTTATTATAAAAAATTATTACATTAATTATTATAAAGTTTATAAATTTATACATTATCATTATCATTATTATTTCATTCTTAATGAAGGATATAAATTTAACAAAGTTTTTTATAGTGCAGACAATAGTGGGTTGTGATCTCCTATAAAATCATGTTTGAATAAAAATGAGATCTTGTTTGTCTATTTTTTTTAAAAAAAAATCTCCCAAATAATTTCAGTAGTTTTACATTATTTAATTTTATATTTTATAGCTTTAATTAATTGTAATTCTCAGTGGATGAAATGTAATTATTTACATAAGTATATGTATGTAAATTTTTCTTAAATTTACATAGTGGAAGTGAAATAATAAATATTATTATTTAAGATAATAAATTATAACTTATTGAATATAATAAAGTGAAAGTAAGGATGTTAAATGGAAGTTGTATAATTAATTAAATAGTTAATTATATTTGTTCTGTTCTGATAATTATTGAGAAAGTTTAATAATAAAGTATTTATTTAATAATAAAAGATGATAAATGGAAATTAGGAAGATATATTATTTAAGAATGTTAGGATAAAATTATGAAGATAAATTAATAAGAATGCTATGATGAAATTATGAATGTATAGGAAGATTGAAAGTTGAGAGATATAATATTGAAATGGATATATGATGATTAAAGTGAATGAATATTAGTTTGTTAGTTCTATCTAAAAACTAACTGGTACCTTCTAAAATTCAAGGAATAACCAAACTGGAAGTCTTGTACCTATGGGGAAGGACTATAAACTTCTTAAAAGAACTGTTAAGTGGATATTGATAATAACACCCATAACACTGTACCAAAAAGGAATTTCGATTTTAGCTAATTTATAATATAGGATAGCCAATTGTTACTGATTTTTAGCTGATCTATAGTATAGGAATTACCATTTGATACAGTGATTCTTTTGTATTTGACTAGTGAAAAGACAGACTATATAATTAAAATTAAGTGAATGATTATTGTTTTAAAATTTTTTTCCATTCAAAATTTAATTGTCAGTTGTTTTCTCAATTTTAATGATATAGATCTGAGATTTTAATAGGAGATGTACATTATTCACACTTTTGAGATTACTTATACCATCTTTAATATTTACTTATAAAATAAAAAAGTTTTATGTATAGATAACACGTGATATAATTTGACTCATTGGTTCCATTGACACCAAATTGACTTGGTAACCTCAAGTCAAGTGGTTCAGCCCTGGTTCAGTTCAGTTCAGCTTGTACTTAACAACACTAGTGAAGAGTACTGGATTGATCAGAAGTATCCTAAAAATTAAATCACATAGTTTATTTTGTTTCAGCTACTAAGTTTAAATGGATCAAGTGAGGATATAAAGCTAAGTTTACATTATTATTGTTTATATTAAAGTTCTTCAATCAATATCAAGTTTTTTATTAGAATATTAATAAAAAAAAATATTATTTTAAATTGCTAAAATTTTATTTTAAAGTTTATATGTATATATATTTATTTGTAAAATGAAGAAAATATTGGTGTTAAAATTAATAATAAACACAAAGCATGTTTCTTTAAAAAAAAAAAGTAATTGTAAATCTTTTTGAAATATTGAAATAATTAATATTTTAACATTTTCACTTATTTTTTCCTTTTTTAATAGAAAAACCTTTTTTCTTCCATCTTTCTAATCTTTTTTCAGTAATTGCTGCCCATTTCTTTTTTTTCTCTTGATTTCTACTTAATACAATTTCTTTAGTTGGATTATCTTCTTCTTCAAAATAAGCTTTTAATCCTTTGGCAGATACATCATCTAAAGTATATCTCCCATATTTACCTAATCTATATTGTTTAATAAAAAACATGGCAGCTTGTTGTATATCATATTCACCTTGTTTATGTAATGCACCTATACGTTTAGATATGGCGGGAAGTAATACATTTACATCATCTGTTGGACCGGGAAGTTTAAACTTCTCTACATAACTTTATATATAAATATAAATATTTATTATTATTATCATTATTATGAATGAATTATTACAAATGTATTAATATGTATTGTATTAATTATTATTTGATATAATAATAAAAACAAAGGAAAGAAATACCAAAAATTGCTAAAATTATTTAATCTCCAAAGTAAATAATCTGCAATGACTTCTTCATCTGATAAATGATCCATTATTCCACCTAGCATTCATAATAAAAGTTTAAATAATTAAAATAAATATTTTTAATTTATAATAAATATTTTAATTCATAAATATTTGATTTATATTTACCTGTCAAAGCAACCTTTAAAGAACATACAGGATCAGGAATATGTGGTATCATCACACCTACATATTAATTACTACTATTATTATTACTATTATTATTCATGCTATTATTTATTATTATTATTATTATTATATTACCCGGAGTGTCAATTAAATAAACAGTAGGATTTTCTAATACTTTAATTGTTGTATTAGAAACTGCTCTTGTTATTCCTGGGTTTGCTCCTGTTCTTGCAGCTTTTCCTAATATTAATATGTATATAATAAATATAGATATAATAAGGTAATATAACAAATATATGTAATATATATATATATAATTAATATAAAATATTTTATTTCACCTCTATGCACACCAAGTCTTCTCATGGAATTAATTATAGACGATTTTCCAACATTTGGCATTCCAACTACCATTACTGTGACAAAAGGATATTTTTGTGGATTTTCTCTTGCTTTATCTTTTGTTTAAAAAATAAATTATTTTAAAATATTAAAATATTCATATTGTAAATTATAATATTATTATATACACATATATAATAAGTTCAAATAGTGAATAAAGCTCACCAGTGGTGATTGTCATCACTGGGCAAAATTAAATTTACGTGGCAAAAGTTAGGGTTAGGTGTTGATCAGGAAATTATGTAATTTTGCCTGGTGATGACAATCATCATCAGCAATAATAAATGTAAAAAAAAATATATTATAGATAATTATAATTATAATAAATATAATTATATTAAATATAAATATAATTAAATATATATAATGCATATATACAAACTTGCTGCAATATTAATTATCGTTTTAATATTCCTGTCCATGTTAGCATTTGTGAATAATACCTTTTGATTACGATGTTTTTCGAATGCTTTTGTTATTATCTTATATAAAGTGTATAAAATGTATAAAATATTATATAAATAATGAAAATAATGAAAATAATGAAAATAATGAAAGTAATAAAAAAATAATAAAAAATAAATAATTACATCTTGAGAAGATTCATCTGCCAAATCACATTTATTATAAACAATAATTCGCTCTTTAACATTAGCTACTTCTTCAAATTTCTTATTAATTGATGATATCGGAATTCTTGCATCCCTCGCTTCAACAATAACATCAATGCTTGACATCCTTTCAGATATTATTCTTAAACCTTTTGCCATATGACCTGGAAACCAATTTATTACTTTATCATAAATAAAATTTGGTCGAATATTAAATAAAGAGGATGTAGTTGTCATTTTTTTTTAAAAGAATATGCAATACAAAAAAAAAAGAATTCAAAAAAAAAGAAATTGGTTTTTTATCTTTCAAAAAAATTAGGTGATACAATCTTGTACACCTCCAAGGTTACGCTAAGTATGTCCCAAAAAGGAATAGATAATTTTTACATTTTATTTTATAAATATATATTTCTCTTTAAAAAAAACTAAATTTTATTAATATTAATTTTTCATCGCTTTCCATCACATTCATCATCACAATCAATTAAATTAAATTAGTACTTTAAAATATTAAATATTCTTTCTATATCATTTCTATTCTACTATTATTTTTACTATTATGTTTACTACTCATTTCACTACTCGTCACTTGTCTTTCATATCTTTTAAATCTTATTAAAGGTCTAGCAGGAATTTCTTGAGGTTCTTGTCTACCCAATAAAACATGACCAAAAATGAATTTTACCACATAAATGAAATCATTAATTATATCAAATGGATTTAATGCATCCAACAAAGCTAATATAAATGGTGGAGATGATTTTTGAAAGGTGGTCGCAGTGGTTTTTTTGTATTCTTCGACTGAAAATGCTTTTAATTGAAGTATGGAAATAAAGAAAAATTCTATTGCGGCTAAAGAAGTTTGGATTCCTGATGAGATATCTTCTGGTGTCCTATAATTATAATAACAAATTATAATAACATTAAAATAATAAATATAATAAGTATTTTATAGAAAATATTAATTCGAATTTTAAGAATGTCGTTATTTACCAATCATCTGATGACTGAATCAATCCTATAAAAAAAAAAAAGAAAAGGAAATTATTATAAAATGCGCGCAAAAATCATAATTAATTATAATGTAGGCGTAGACAAAAAAAGAATTTTTTTTTTACCTAATGAAACTGCCAAACTTAACGCGTGACCTACATATATATTCATTTATTCATAATTATACATAATTAAAGTATAATTAAAGTATAATAAATAATAAAAGTATTTTTTTACCTTGATATGTGACAAAGAAAAGAGCCTATTATACATTATTAATTATTATTAAAATATTGAAAGAAAAATATAATCAATAATAATAACAATAACAATAATAATTATAACAATAATAATAATAATAATAATAATAATAATAATAATAACAATAAAATAAAGATAAAATTTACCCAATTGATACAAATATCTTTTAATGTTAATTGTTGATGTATTAAATCACCTCTAACTGCTTCAAAAAGAATATTCTATCATAGTATAACAAATTATAATATAGTTAGAATATCATAAATATTATATTGCTATAACTAGATATAATAACATATAAACAATAAAAACATATAAATATAATAATATAAAAATAATAGATAATATGTAATAATATATTATCAAACTCACCATACTTAAATTAGCAATTACAGAAGAAATAGTTTGTATAATAACCAAATAAATTTGAGGGTAATGAATTGACCAACTTTCCTTACAAAAAAGTCCTAAAGTTTGTAAAATCAATATAACAAAGGTGGTAATGTACAATATGAAAACATATTGTATTACCGAAATTTTTAATCCGGGTAGGAATAATCGATGTTTACTAGGATTAAAATACCAACAACATAATGGTAACGGCATGCGAGTTGATTGAATGGTGGAAACTTTGTCTTGACGATCTTCCCCGGTGGGACCTAAATATTCCAATAATAAATTAAAGAATGATATGATGGAGGCGGCTTGATAAGCATCTCGAATGGTGGTAAAGTATACGGATTGTTGAATGAATGTATAAGCCAATTGATCAAATATTGTGTAGAACGGGATCATTAATAATAATCGAATAATTAATCTTTGTTCTTCAGGCTATGTATAGTGAGTGAGTGAGTGTATAGCGAGACGAGAGTATGGCGATGAATGTGTAGTGGTGAGTATATAGTTATAATATATAGTCGTAATGTGTAATTGAGTATATGATAAACATAATAGTTTATTATTATAATATTTTCAAAATATTCATAATTACCTTCGTATAACATCTTAAATGTTTAAATATGAGCACAAAAGTAAAAATACATGCTAAAAAGGTAAATAATGCTGATAATATCCATACAGCTGAATGTACTTTATTATTATTATTATTATTATTATTTTCAAAGGGATAAATAAGATTTAATGATAATAATAATGATAATAATAATAATGATGATAATAATAGGAGAAAGAAATAATTACTGTAATAATTATTAAATATTCTTTAAATTAAATTAAAAGACAAAAAAAAAAAAAATTATAAAAATTATTTACGTGGTAAAACAAAATTCCCATTTTCATCATGATATGTAGAATATGAAAATAGATCAGTTCCATAAATCCCATGAGTTGATGTTGGAGGACATATTGCGCTAGTTAATACATCCATTTATTTATATATAAATTTTAAAATGAATTTTAAATTTTTATCCTTTCCGTTTAATATATTTTAAAAAGAAATTTGAAAAAGGGATTTAATAAAATTTTAAGAAATAAACAATAAAATTATTTAATTTATTTGATTCTTTATTAGATTTCTTAATTTTTCATACATTTTTATTTTCAAGAAATTTTATTAAAAATAGAGGAAAAAAAATAATTAAAATAGAAAAGATAGAAAAAATGTAGAAAAAATGGTGAGATCCGATCTACCACGACAACAAAAAAAAAACTTGAACAAAACTCATCAACTAGAATCATAACTTGAGTATATCAATATCAGATATGAATGGTTGATAATAATAATTAAAATTATAATAAATAAATAACAATAAAAATAATTTAAAAATTAATTCCTTGGAGAAATATTAAGTCATTCTATCTTCTCTTTGTTCATTATGTTCTGTTTAGTATTAAAACCAAATACGTATCATATAATTACGTATATAATTACGCGTATATAATTACGCGTATATGTAATTTATGTAAAAATTCTATCGAGAAAGTATATTGAAAAACGAATATTGAGAAAGGAGAGATAATGTAATTAACCGAAAAGTAATTTGAAGCCACTTACCTTGGCAATAAAAGCCACATGAAATAATAAAGCATAGCCACAAACGGATTTGATTATGGGTGAATCAATAAAAATTCTCGAAAATTATTTGTATAGCATATACTAACGGTACGATATACGTATAGTCATTCGGTTAAAAAAAAAAAAAAACGCCGTCGCATTATTTCGTTATTTTATTTAATTTAATTTCTTTATATTCTTTTATTGATGGCTTATCGTTTTTTTCGAATGGAGTTAAATGCACAGTTAACAGAATTGAATGTAAAATAATATTTAACGGTTAAAAAGGTACAAGAAATTGATAAAATAGAATTTTGATCATCATCTTGAGGAGGCTTAGATCATTGAAAACAAAGATAGATTTAAAAGCAAGGCTTAGTTTTACTTGATTTTTTTTTTTTTTTATAATGACAATAATAATATTTGAAAAATGAAATTGTACGTTAAACCTTATATTAATGATAAAATGTATACTTGTAACATAACATATATTGACTTTTTTTTTTCTTTTAAATATATATAAATAAATATATAAATATAAATATATAAATATAAAATATATTAAAATATTTACTGGTATTTTTCGTATTCTGTGAGTTAAATAAATTGAACAAAAATTTTATCTTGAACAATTTATTTGAACAAGTGAATGATTAGTTTAAATTATTGTTATTATTAATATTCTGATAAATTATTAATATTAATATTAATTATTATTTTTATAAAAGAAATCAATAAGAGAGAAAGAAAATAGATAAAAAAAAATGTTGGAGTTACAAGTAGGAAAAACCGATTACGAAGAGAAACGAAAAACCGTAAAAACAATTGTTTTATGGTTTCTTGCTGCTATCGTATATATTTGTGTTTATCATGTATTATTTAATCAAGTATCTTTCATAAATAATTCCAATAATAACAACAACAATAATAATAATAATATCAATAATAATATCAATAATAATAATGATGACATTTCTTCACCTTTAAAATTGAATAATTCCGATTCAACTGAGATATATGTTAAAGATGCTTATTACATTAGTTTTTACACTCCCTCATGTTTTTCATATTATTATTTAACGGTTAATCTAAGTCAAAGTACAAATACTATCAAGGATGATGATAAAAACACGGAAACCACAACGTTCGAAAAAGATTTATCATTAACATCACAAGAATTAAAAATATGTTATGACCAAATTCATATGGAACATTTACGATTGTATAAAGAATTATCGGATAAAGGTATAACGATAAAAATTAGATATGAATTTTGGGAATTAATAAATGTGATTAGTATCGAATTTGAAGAAAAACATTTGGAAATTATTAAAAGTCTTAAATATGTTAAAAATGTTCAACCTGTGGTAAGTTATGAATTAATGAATGAATGAATGAATTAATTAATTATTAATTAATTAATTAATTATTAATTGTTGTTAATTATTTGAATTATTTTTGAAATATTAGTCTAAACATAGAATCCCGATAAAAAGAAAAAATCCATCATTAGATTCTAAAATCGTTAATAAAAAGAGAGGTAAATATAAACTGTATATACATATATACTACATTATTTACATTATTAAATGTTTAGAAGTATAATTATAATTTTTTTATTTTTAGTTTCACGATGGAAACGAGATTATATTTCTTATGATGATATTAAACTTGCACCTGGAGTTGATATAAATTTTGTTCATAATTTCACTGGAGTTTTTTCAGCACGAAAATTATTTAAAGTAACTGGGAAAGATATTAAAGTAGGAATTGTAGATACTGGTAAATAAATAAATAGTCACTAACTGTACTGTTTTTTTTTTTTTGTGTTCACATTTTCGCTGAGATTAAAAAATAAAAATCTTTAAATATTAATCATGATAATATATTATTTAATTTAAAATAGGAGTGGATTATAATCATCCAGCATTAGGAGGATGTTATGGACCAAAATGTCGAGTTCAATATGGATATAATTTTGTAGATGGTACATCTGACCCATTAGATGAATGTATTGGACATGGTACACATGTAGCAGGGATTATAGGTGGTAACGATACGGGTAAAGGTGGAACTGGATTTTTAGGAGTAGCTCCCGATGTTACATTTGGTGTTTATAAAGTGCTTGACTGTAGTGGATCTGGAGATAATGATGTGATAATGCAAGGAATGCAAATGGCTAAAGATGACGGAATGAGTATTATTAATCTTTCAATTGTATGTATTATTATTCGTGTAATTCGAGTAATTCTAGTAATTCGTGCTAATAATAATAAGTATAATTAATAATTTAATTAATTATTAATTAAAATTTTCAGTCAGGAGAAGGATGGGCAGAATCACCGATGGCAGAAATGACAAATGTTTTAGCAAAATTTGGAATTTTAGTGGCAGTAGCAGATGGAAATTATGGTAGTGATGGATTATGGGAGTCAGGTATTCCGGCCACAGGTGCTAATGCTTTAGCAGTTTCGTCAGTGGATAATTCTCACCTTTTAGTACAAAAAGCTACTGGTGAATATAATAATGTTTCGGTAGAAATTGGTAAATTTTCATTATTATTATTATTTGTGAACGTGCGTTGTCATTGTTATTTATTTGTTCATTATATTTTTAGATTATATGACAAAATATGTAAGACCATTCCCACTGACAAAAGTGAAAATAGCAGTATACCCGAATGATGACTGTCCTACTGATCTCTCAATTTATAAATCAAAAATACTTATGATTGATATTCCGAATATGTTGTCGACTTGTTCTCTAGATGTAAGCATTCATTCTTGTCTTGTCTCGTCTCTCATTCTTGTCTTGTCTCGTCTCTCATTCTTGTCTTGTCTCGTCTCTCATTCTTGTCCATCTCTCACATTTCACTCACTCACTCACTCACTCACTCTCTCACTCACACGCACATATTTCACCCAGTCTACATCATTACAAGAAAATGTAGTCGGATTATTTGCAGTAGAATATAATATATCAGCACCATCTTATCCATCATTATCAATGCCTGATTATTTCACTGTTCCATATGCAACTTTAATTCCCAAACAATATTATAATTTAGTTAATATCGTAAATAATTATTCAGATTTTGAATTAGATTTTTCTGATAAATACACTTATACTGTAATTAATGAATACGGAAAATCCCCTTCTTATTTTACTTCGTGGGGTCCAGCTCCAGAATTAGATATGAAGGTAATTTATTATATCATTTACTTTATTAATATATTTCTAATAATATAATTTATTATTATAAATTCCATCGATTTAATTAATTATTTTATTTTATTTTATTTATTTATTTATTTATTTATTTCGAAATTATTAAATAGCCAGAAATTTCAGCACCTGGAGGAATAATATTCTCATTATATCCATTAGTATTTGGTGGATACTCTCTTATGTCTGGGACCAGCATGGTAACTATCCTAAAATATTAAAATATTAAAATATTAATATATATATATATATATACACTCTAAAAAAAAATATTTTATTAATTATTTTAATATTCTTTTTTTAAACATTTTAAATATTTTTAATAAATATTTTTAAGGCATCACCATATATTGCAGGTTCAGCAGCTTTAATTTTAGAAAAACTTAAAGTTAAAAAATCATTCGAAGTAACTCGTGCATTACTTATGAATTTTGCAATTCCTACAACGGATGTGACAATAAATGAAATTGCACCAATATATCAACAAGGAGTTGGATTCATAAATATTCTTAATTCATTATCATCCTCAATTACGATTTCCCCCATAAAAATTAATTTAAATGATACAATTAATGGAAATTTCGATTGGCATACTTTGAAGATTACGAATGAAGGAAATTCTAGCATAAATTATACCTTAGTTCATTGTCCCGTAATATCAGTTAATGGTTATATTAGTGGAACCAATTTTGGTGCCTCATTCTTTCAATTGAGTTTTAATAAAACAATTACTGCTGAAGTGGAATTTGATAATACTTGGATTGAAGTTGGTCCAAAAATGAATGCAAGTATTAAGGTTAAAATTACTCCTCCTAAAATACTTGGTTCGGAAAAACGTTGGTTTTATAATGGTTACATTCAATTTAAACCAACTGATAATTCTTCAACTCTTTCTATTCCTTATGGTGAGAGATTATTATTATTATTATTATTATTTGTCGCTTTTCGTTCGTAAGGAGGAGAGGATTATTAATTTACTATTATTATTATTATTACAGCCGGTTTATCTACTCCCGCAAAAGAACTTCCAATATTTCCTACTCCTCAATATCCCCAACTCTTTAATTCAGATTATAATATATTATATTCCAACACTACTTTCACCATGAAAAATGGTGATATTCCTTATATTGCTTATGCCTTAGTCACTCCTACCAGATATTTAGCCGCTTACATATTAGATAAAAATAAAAAATTATTGTTTTTATATGCTGATGCTGATTACGTTTGGAAAACCACCTATTACACTTCGTATTCTATACCAGTAGTATTTTCTTGGTCAGGGGTTGATCTTTTGAATAACGATTTACCGAATGGAACTTATTTTTTAAAGTTAAGTGCCTTAAAATTATTAGGGGATCAAAACAATAATACCGAATATGAAGATTGGATATCTCCAGGAATTATTATAAGTAGACCAAAATAGCTATCCGTTTTTATTGCAAATGATGATCTTTTATACATTTCTTTCTTGTTTATAATGGTTTTATTTATTATGTCTGTTTTATACTTCTTTCGTGTTTATATTTAGTTTATATCTGTTTGTACATATATTGGTTATATTGTTCATATTTAGTTAGTTTATTCATGTTTATATTCAGTTTATTCATGTTTATATTTAGTTTATTCATATCATATTTTCACATATATATATAATTTATTCATATTTATACGTGTTTGTATAGTTTATATTCGTGTGTATATATTATAAAATCAAATAAATCCAGTTTTCATACTTATCAAATAGTTTGTAAAAGTTTATATAATGTTTAATATAATGTTTAATATATATAATCATAAAAAGTAATGATAAATAATAAATAATCATTTTGACAACAAAAAAAAACTCTTCAGGAGAATTCAAAAAACAAACCAATAAAAATGCCCATAAATAATAATAGTCACAATAATAATAATAATATAAATCAACTTATTCAAAAATTACTTGATGATTTAGCGGAAAGAAACCGAACTCAAAGATATTTCAAGCTCATACCGTTATTTTTTTTTATCATCGATCATCTTATTTTAGAAAGATTTTATCTTTTTTAAATGATAAAAATGACAGTAATAACAATAATAATGAAAAGAAGAGAAGAATGAATATTGTGAAATTAATAATGATGATGATGATTATTATGACAAGAAAAGTAATAATGTGAAAAGAAAAGGAGAATAAAGGAAAAAATGTAATAAAAGAAGTAGTAAATGAAAATAAAAATAAAATCGTAAAAATTATCAAAATACCAAATATTTTTTCTTCATTTGTCTGTAATTTCATATTTCACTAATACAACAAGTAAAATTTTATTTATTTAGGTCACAATTCTTAAAGTTCATGAAACCGGAGAAATTCTTGGTATTTAAGTTTTTTATTTCATTTAATGATCGAATTACAAGAATCAAAAGTCGAGAGATCGCATTAAAATTTGATAGCACATATGGTTCAACGGTCACGCTGCCGCGCTTTGAATATACTGTATTTGAGGGTCGCTAAATAGTGTGGGGATATATCCATCAAATCGCTGTCATTCTGACTTCCAGGTATGCTGTCAACCGTAAATTCTATCTCCTTGTCAATCAGGTTTTGGACATATTGAATATGCTTTTTGATGGAATTTTCGATGCAATCACGATATGAGTGGCCACAGGTAAGTATGGTAATCTGCTTTTTTATTTCAAACAAAAAAAGTTTTTGATTACGTAACGCATCTAGTTCAGGACATTAGTATTGCTAACGATTTAATTTTCAGACAATAAAATTTATTTAACTATCATATATATTCGTATTCTTTTTTATTATAGTTGCAGCAATTAAATTTTAATTCATCTGATATGACGAACCAAATAAGCAATGAATATGTCATACTTTAATGTGATTCTAAAACCACTTGTTGTACATCAAATAAATCGATGAAAAAATCAGCGTCAACAACTGTACCAGGTACAAATACGTATAGAAACTCCCCCAACTATTGGAGGGTCGTAGTTATTTGAAATGCATTGAGATTCTTGACATTGCAACTAATAGGAGTAGGTGCATTATTATTACACTGAATGGTGCCGAAATCCCACTATTATATTGCAAAAGTTACTTTAGCCCCTTGACATTTGATCGTGAGAACATAAGTAGGTCAATTTTACCTTCTTGACATACACTCCTTCTCTTGCTAAAGCTGCATTTGGTGATAATACACCTCCATTCTGTACTACACGTGTGCCTAATATTAAAAAAAACACTGAGATAAAATTAATAGTATTGTCGCGGTCTGCGCAGAACAAGTGGAAAGTTAAACCAATCAGTCTCAATAAATTTGGGTCAATCACACGATAATTCAATGTACTACCAACACACTTTCTCTTGTGCGCAATATCCTAAAACACAGCAAGACAGGCAATCAGTCGATCTAAACCTGCTTACTAAC